TTTGGAATAATCTAATGGCATACTATTTAATAATTATGGTGATTCCCTTTCACCAATAAGACTAGTTGATAAAATATTCATAATTAAGTAGGTCTGTGACCTTTGGGTATCATTTCAATATCAATTATGAATACCCATCAACTATCATATTCCAATTCAACAATTTACTTAGAAGTGGTGCACCTTTGGGCCAACCTAATATCTTTGTAATTAAAGAATTGCGATTTGTAAAGTCATTATTTTTTAATACTTGGGAAGGGTATTAAATTTCAATTATTTGATTTAATATTTATGTGTCATTCCGATTGGGTCACTTTGGCAACTACCAATCATATCATAATTTAGATTTCAAATCAAAATAAAAACTGTGCGTAAACATTATGGAATAAATAATAATTTATTCAAAATTATTCATCATCATAATCATAATGTATATCGCTAAATCATAAGAATAATATTAAGATAACAAATATTAACACAACACATATTCTATGTCACATAAGAATATATGCTTTTGTACCTCATTAAACCATCCACAAAAATTAAACTTGTACATAATTTGTAGAGGTTACAATTACATCCTTAAATAACAATATGCTTAGTACTATAAAGATCACAATAAAATTTTAATATGCTTTCTCATACTAAAATTTAATAACACTTTAATGTGCCTCACAGTAAAATTAGATAATATAAAATTCAGCAAAACATGAATAACAATGATTCTTTATGTAATATAAATATCTTTAGGCATTACAAAATCAAACAATACAATGGTCATTATCCACTAAACCTTTCCTCATAATAAAGATAATTAAATCATTCATAATATTCAATTATCAAAATTTTAAAATATTCGGTTTATCATCAAAGAGTTAGCACTCATTAAATAAATATTATTTATACAATACACAATCCAATCTAAAGTAGGAACATAAGAGTTGCATATTAACTTTCATATCATGTTCAACAAATTCAAAGTTTTGGATTGAGACAATCATAATTGTAATCAAAATTAATTGATATTTACTTAATCGAAAAATCATAATGTTCTGAAACATGAGCTTTGATACCACATGCAAATAAATTTTATGTTGTTATGCATATAACAACATTCATAATCCAAAATTGTGAACTATCATAATTTTCACAAATAATAACATAATGTAGAAAATAAATAACATACCCAAATCAATTGTGAGAAACCTTCAAGTGATCCAAAATTGATTGAACATAAGCCTAATAATAATATTTGTGGAAAAATGTTTCTCCCTCTTAACACTCTTTAGAATACATTGACTTCAGAATTATTTGATAGGTAGTCTGAATGTCCTTTTATAGCAGAGAGATGATTGGTTTCCTTATTTAACAATAATTCCACTTTCCCATCAAAGTAGGATATTTGAAAAATACTCTTCTTTATTTATCAATTAATTGTAGCAAAAACTATGAAATCATAATCATGCCAAATCTCTAATTCATATTACCATATCATGTGGGTCAACATAATGACTAAATAATTAATTTAGTCTTACATTCTCCCACTTGGCCCATATGATAACTTACACCAAGATTTAACAAGATTAACATTAGGCGCACAATAAACCATATTCAATATTGCATTTAATTTGGTTATCATCATAATATTATAATTAAATAATTCACTAACGTGAATCATGGTAGTTCTACACCAATAGTGCGATCGATATAGTCCCTTCCATGTACTACAACACTAGCAACTAGTTTAACATAACCCTTTAAGTGAAGAGTATAAAGAGGCCCAAAGATAATGTCTTTTTATGAAAGACTATTCTTGTTATCATTCATTCATTCTCATATATGTACGTACTTATTTCATAATAGGAAACATATCAGAAACACAATTAATGAGATCTCAATGTGTCAAATAACACAATCAATCATAAACAGCTGTTATGGATTACATTCAAGACCCAATTGGCAAGTTTCTGTAGTTAAAAGTTATGTACTTATGTGTTTATTGATACTTTCTGTTTATGAAATTCTTCTTTAACGACAAAGTATTTCAATTATATGTGTTTACCATCATTAAAATACTTGTCATTCTAAGAAAATAAAACAATTGCAAAATTATCACAATAAATTCTCAATGACTTTGTAACAAAAGTCGACAATCCTAAGTCTTGAGATAAAGTTTCGCAATAACAATTCATGAATTGTGGTCTCAAAACACGCCACAAATTCAACTTTCATAGAGGATATACTTATGATAGTTCGTTTGATACTTTTTGTAATATTGCTCCTCCACATAATATAAACAAAGAACCAAAAGTGAATTTTCTATTATCAATATATCATCTAATGTCTGAATCTAAGTAGCCAATCAATTCAAGATTATCAGACCTCATAAATGTGAGCAAGTAATCATTTATTATTTATGATTACCTTATCACTTCCTTATTTGAGCATTAAGCTTCTTACAATAAATGTATAAAGAATCGTTTCTATTTCAATTGATTTTATAAAAAAAAAAATTTGCATGAGACTGGATTTATTTCCTAATTCATATTACCAAATCTCTAATTCGTATTACCATATTATGTGGGTCAACATAATTCGTATTACCATATTATGTGGGTCAACATAATGACTAAATAATTAATTTAGTCTTACATAATGTGCATATAAAGAATGCTGGACTTACATAGGGTTCATAATAGATGCCATTTTAACATGGATTTTTTAGATTGCTATAGCATTCATTTTCAAGATCCTCTATGACTTTTACTAAAAATTGTAACTAAATTTTATCAATAAAATGTCTGAAAATCTACAAGTACTCATAGATGTTAGGAAAAATATATGATTTTTCACAAGTAAATCAATTAATGAGAATAAAAAGTAATGCAGAAAAATTAAACCAACAATAATACAAGAATTTTTATGTGGTTCCCTCAATGTGAGATACGTTCACAGGATCGAAATCCGATTCCACTATCAACTAAAAAGTTTCCAAACGATTATAAACGAGACACGAATGGTCTTACAGAACCACCATTGAGTGAATTCCAAATAATCACAATTAAACAAGAGGGAAGATCTCACCAAATAGATGAACAAAATTGTCTTCAAAACAGAATTGAAGAAGACCAAAAATTGTAGCCCAAATCAGCTTTAAATCAGAGGCAACAGAAGCATGAACAAATCAAGTACAGAGCTTTTACCAATCTTAGAATGAATCAATGATTATGGTTGCCACATAAAACGAACCCACCGAGTTGATTTTCACTGTTGCCGCTACACTATCACGGGACAAACAAAGATAATATATATATATATATATATTTTGTTGAATCTTGAGTTTTTTTTATCAAAATCCTAGCTACTATCATTGGGCTTTTTAAAAATTAGATATTTTTAATATATTATAACTAACATCAAATCAAACTAAATATTTTAATAAACCAATAAAGTCTCATATTCTAATAAGGAGGTACACTCAACAATAGATACCTCATATGATATGAGAAAACAAATGTATATAGTGAGTACTGAAATTAGGCATTCGATGGCAAAGGTTCCAAGTTTGATTTTCCAACAAAAAGATTAACCTACAAGAAGTTTTAAGTAAACAATAAATAAATTTTAAAAAAATGAGTAAGAGCGGGGCAGTTCTTGAATTGTGCCTTATTTTACACCTTGGTGAAGAGATTTTTGAGTCGTTCAAAAAAAAAAAGAAAAAAAAAGAGAGATTTTTGAGAGCTTTGCAACTTCTAGGGGAAGAAACCTTGACAGTGTGGTGCCAATCAAGTTTCTTCAATGTTAAACTAGTTGTATATTATTGGTATCATGGAGACCATTCTTACTTATGTTACGCACATAACCTTGACTTAGTTGTATATTATTAGAGTCTATCATAGGTTTCGTTTCAATAATCTAAACCGTTTTTAATATGTAGAAATCGTTGAATATTATATGTCTATAAAAAATCACATTGATCAGATATCCATAGTTATGTGGTCAAATCAAATTTTTATAAGCTGTTTATTTTTCACCGTCTATTTTTTTTCCATACAAAACTAATTAGATCACATAACTATCGATATCTGATCAATATGATTTTTTAAATATATAATATTCGACGATTTATACACATTGAACAGTTCGGATTATCGAAACGAGACCTTGTGATAGGCCTTCACAAGTCTAACGATACCCTTTAATTCGTGATTGGACTGAAAGGAAGCCATTCGCTTTTTATAACGTGGTGAGCAGGCGTGTAATTTGAAATGACAATTCGTATTTTGATGATTATTATCTCCAATGGCAAGTATCAAGCTTCCATTTTTTTTAGTAGCACCAATTATATACCTTTCAATCTCAAGGAGTGAGTGATAGCCCTTTAAGTAGCTTCATTTTTTTGGAGTGTCAACTTTCAATTATTCAAAGATGAACTCTCAAATACTCGCTACTCGGCATCTTAATCGAGTTTTGATTGCATGATCAGATCAAGAACACTTGAAGGGAAAAAAGACCAAAGAAAAGAGAAACAAGCGCTCAAATTCACATATATATATATATATATATATTTTTTTTTTCATTTTCCTCCTTCAATTGTCCACTGTTTGTTCCAAATTTAGCTTCTCTACCCATGATGATTCTCTCCAACTCCAGGAGAAGTGGTGAACGGGGGATTGGACAAATGATTCTACTCCTAGATATAGGATGGAGAAAATTGAGCTAGTCCATGCAAAAAAAAAAAAAAAAATACTAACAAAAGTTATCCAACCCTACTAATTACAACCTCATCTTGTTCATTCCCTTAAACATCAATGCATCAAAATGCCAAATCCAATTAAGACCTCTCCATCTCCCTCTTCATCCTTTGAACATCATTAAAGCAAAACATTTAACCACCCCTCTCAAACTAATTTACCTAACCCCCCCACCTTCCCGTCCCCCCTACCATCCCCACTCTTTCCCTTCCTAAAATTTTATTTCAAAAATCTCACCCTTCTCACTTCCCGCTCCGTCGCCCAAATTCCCCACCGCGCACACCACCTCTCTCCTTCTCTCTCTCTCTCTCTCTCTCTCCTCTCATGTGGCTGCGGCGGGCAAAATCGACGGTTCGGGTTCGTTCCAAACCTCCTTCAAACTTCTCTTGCAAATCATTCAAAGACATCCAATACCTCTGCACAGAAGATTTCACCAAAAACCCACAACAACAACAACAAACCCAATCACAATCCTCCATCAATTCATCATCGAAATCCTCCATTTTCCACCGAGTCCGACTTGCCAACTCCACCCTCCGAACCTGGTCAACCTGCCACTCCGAACCCAATCTCACCCCACCACCCTCAAAAGAACCCCCCTCATCGATCTCCATCCCTGGCGCCGAGAAACGCATAGTTGTCTACTTCACGAGCCTCCGCGTCGTCCGATCCACCTTCGAGGACTGCCGGGCCGTCCGATCGATCCTCTACGGCTTTCGCGTGTCGATCGATGAGCGTGATCTCTGTATGGATTCAAAATTCATGGAGGAGCTACAGGCGATCTTTGGGAATCACAAGACCAAGATAAGTCTGCCTAGGGTTTTCATCGGAGGGAGATATGTCGGGGGCGCTGAGGAGATCAGAGAGCTTCACGAAGCCGGCGAGCTCAAGAAGTTCATCGAAGGTTTGCCGGCGGCGACTCCCGGAGTCTGCGAAGTCTGCGGCAGCTATCGATTTATCCTCTGCGTCGAGTGCAGCGGAAGCCACAAATGTTACTCGGAGAAAGATGGGTTCGCGACTTGTGTGGCGTGCAATGAGAACGGCCTGATCAGATGCCCTTCTTGTTTGTCTCATTATTATTAGTTTTGTGATTGTTGTTTGTAATTTTAACAGGATTGGCAGACAGGGTTAGATAGGTACAGATGCACCCAGTGGAGAGCTGCCCAATATTTTTTACTCAATTTGGTTTGTTAATTTTTTGTCATGTAAAGTGGTTACGTGTGGGAATGGAGGGGGCCAATCACATGCTTTATAAGCTGGTATTGTATTTGTCAATTTGTCACGACTGTTGAATGGAAATTTACAACTCATCACATGGCTTTTTATCACATCTTTTTTATTGTTTGATTCATCATTTTCTTCGTTCAATTCTTGAATTTATTTGCATTTCTGATTAAATTTTAGTGACAAAAGCATTTTACAAACAAAATTTTTAGGAGAAGTTGAAAAAAATAAAAAAAATCAAAATTTTGACTGTCGAATAAGGACAACAAGTGCATTTTTAGAAATAGGCAATTTTTTTTTTTATAACAAATATGATAAATTAAATATGTTATGATTATCGGATCGCTCAAAATTTTTATGTGAATAATATATACGAATAATCTTACAAAATGAACAAGTCAGATCATCAAAATAAGAGTTGTGATCCGCTCCACAAAAAACGGACAACATCCTCTAATCTAGACCATAGATTGAAGGGAAACCCAAATTTTTTTGGGGAGAATAAAAAAAAAACTTAAGATTTGACACTTGTATAACAAAATAAATCATAAGATTTTAATTTTGTCAAGTTAAATTATAATCTTTTGATTTGTTTTCCATCTAAACAATTTGTTTATTTTTGTTAAGTAAACTAATGAAAAATAGTATTTTAATCATTAAACTCAACGAAAAGAGATATTTTTGACATTTTATGTACATCTACATTGAATTTAATGACTAAAATATATTTTTTTTCGTCAATTTTACTTAATGAAAATAGGTGAACAGTTTAGATGGAAAACAAATTAAAAGATAAGATTTAAATTGATAAAATTAAAAACTCAGAGTTTATTTTAGAAAAATTTACGTGTAAATGAACTTATTGTCTAATAGGTCTTATGAGAATTAATGGTATTTTTTATCGAACACTATTAAAAAAAATCACTAATTATTAATTTTTAGTAACAATTTGAAAATTTTGTCATAAAAAATGTCAATAATTATAAGTCTTAGCGTCAGTTTAATAAAATCGTCACAAAAGACATCTCTGTGTTTCAACTTTCAGTGACAAATTAAAAATCTTGTAATAGAAAACGTCACTAATTGTAAGTTTTAGCGACAATTTATAAAAATCATGACAAAAAAGTCACTAATTGTTAATTTTTAGCAACATATGCAACAAATCGTCACAAAAAAATATTTTTAATGACACTTTTATTAAGACTTATTTTTAATAAGACTTGATAGAAATTAAGTTAAACTATCAAGACCTGTTGCTGATTTACCCTTTATTTTTTTATTATAAGGATCACACTGTAAGGTATTTTTTGTTTTTGTTTTGTAATTAATTAAATAATTATTTATTTTAAAACATTTTTTTTAGAAAGGATTTATTTTAAAACTTAATTGTGTGTTTTTGAGACAGCGACCAAAAATGTTAAAAAAAGAAATGAAAAGAAGGGAATAGGGTATATGTTATATGATTTCCAACGGCTTGATATGTCAAGAAAAAGGAAACAAATGTTTTATCCAACTAAGTACGAGAAGGCAAATTTTCGTCCAACAATATTTACTCCACATAATTTATTTACAGAATTATATCAAGAAAATTATTGTGGAAATCATATTTATTTGGAAAATTTATTTATAAGTCCTATTAGGGAGATTTATGTTACATATTGTCCTAGAAAAAAACTTAGGGGTTGTTTGGGGTATCTTAAATAAGTGTATTTTTTGTCTTTTTGGACTAAAAAATTGAGAGAAAAAATATAGATGTTTGGGTTAACTTTTTGACTTTTTATGAAAAAATGTGTATTAAAAAATTGTATAAATTAGTATG